CTTCATATACTGCGCGATTCAGTCCAATGGATGTCGAGACCTGGCCCCCAAAACACAGAATGACGGGTCGCTCAGGCTTCACGGGCGCAATGCCGACACTGGGGGCCGTGTCCTTGGTAGCCTTGGCTGCCTGAGCAAGCTTGGTCTGGAGCTCGTCCAAGGAGCTGCAGCTGAAGATCATTCCTTGAGACAGACCGGGGTTCGATTGCCATTTCATGTTGAACGACACATCGGCGAGGCTCGTCGCTTGGTCCTGTGACTGGAGGTATGGAACCAGTGCGTTGCTGTAGGCTGCAATGCTGCGGACATCGTGGCCTGAGATCCAGAAGGGGAGCCGTTGTCCACTGGACAAGGGGGCTTTGGCAGACTTGTGCGCCGAGTGAGCGACGATCGCGCTGGAATTAGATCCACAAGCACCGTAGTTATTGATGAGAGCCACCTTCCGGGCTTCGGGCCACGACCGCAAGGCTGTGACTACCTCCATGTTGTCTGAGGGCTGTGCGTGGACACCGGGGTTCATGGTGTTGAAACTGGCTTGTGGGGGGATGAAGTTGCCTCGCATCATCAGCAGCACCTTGATCAGGGAGACCAGGCCTGATGCGCCTTCAGTATGGCCAACATGCCCCTTTGCTGACCCTATGGGCAGAACCGTATCACGTCGAGGACCAGCCACGGCATTCCGGATGCTTTGCCATTCAGCAGGATCTCCCACAGGGGTGCCAGTGCCGTGGCACTCGACCAACGAAATGTCGCGTGGGTCAACGCGTGCCTTGCGAATCACCTCGTTAAAGAGCGTCGATAGGGACGGTACATTGGGAACAAAGAGCGGCGTGGTGTTGAGATTCTGGTTGACGCCTGTAGAGCGAATGGTCCCCAGGACAGTATTGCCATCGGCCACGGCGGTTGAGAGCTTCTTCAGGAAGACATAGGCAATTCCGTCGCCTCGACAATACCCATCTGCACCAGAGTCAAATGGTTTACACTGGCCCGTCGGGCTGATGAAGCTGCCAGCAGCCAAGTTTTGCGTCCACTGCAGGCTTGTCAAGACATTGACACCACCACACAGCGCTGCTGGGACCTCCCCGGACAGCAAGTCTCTGCAGGCATTGTGGAGGGCTACAGTGGACGAAGAGCAAGCGGTATCAAAGGTCAACGATGGGCCTGTCCATCCAAAGTAATGCGAGATCCGGCCGGGAATAAAACTTCGGAGCTCCCCCGTCGTCGTGAAGGCGCTGGGTGGATGGCAGTGGACGTTGGAATCGTACTCGTAGGAGCAGAGCCCGACGTAGACCCCAATGTGCTTCTTCCTTTCCTGCTCAGCAGCACTTGTCATAGCCAGCTCGTTGAAATATCCAGACTGCTCTATAGCTTGATAGGCGGCCTCGAGGGAAAGCCGGCCCTGGGGGTCTATCGCCATCGACTCGCGCGGGCTCTTCTTGAAGAACTTGTGGTCGAAAGCATCTGGGTCGCGTATAAAGTTTCCATACCACTTCCGGTTGGGGTCTTTGTCGCGAAACACCATGTTGGGTGTTATCCGGTCGTCGGTGATGAGCTGGTGCTGCGACTGTCCAGTCTTGAGCATCTGTTGGAACTCTTCCAGGTCGTCGGCTCCTGCAACCTTGAGCGACATGCCCACCACTGCAATTGAATTTTCGTCTGCTTCTTGACGCGGCGGCTCTGCGACTTGCACTGATTCAGTATCGTGGACAGGCTCTTTGTCCTTGTCGTGTGGTCGGTGCTTGGGCACATCGACCTCCTTATAGTCAAGCTTAGCACCAAATTCGCGCACCACCGGGGGAGGCAGAGGTCGGTCGAGCCCAAATTCAACGCGTGAGAGCTCCTCCTTGTTCAGCGCCAGCTTCGAAGCGGTGCTGCTCCAGTTCAACTGCTTCACCAGCATAGAGCGCAGGACCATCCCAACCAAGCCCGTTTCTTGACCCGAGACTTGGTTGACGGGCAGTGCGAGCTGGGCAGCATCGGGATACTGCAGCTCGGGCATTGAGTGGCACATTTCGATCAAGTCTTCTGTAAGGCGTTCGCGCTCTGCCGTCGGGGAGTGAAGCTGCCCCTTGAAAGCGAGCTGGATGGCCGTGACACCAGCTGCTCGGAGCTGCCGGACCAGCTTGGGTGCGAGACGTTCTGATACTGTCACCGTAGCTCGGGAGTCGTCGAAGATAACAGATATATAGGCATCGGGAGACAGCTTCGAGACGATGCGCGCCATATCATCGCCCTGCTTGCGGGTTCTCCAGGCTGTGGCCAACGAGACCGACCTGCCTTTGCCCATCACTTTGGTCCACTCCTCGGTGGCACCTACAAGGACTGCCATCAGGGCTGCGATGCGCAAGGCCACGGCGCCGTACTTTTCGAATTCTTGTCGAGTGTGGGAGCTGGCAATGGCGATGGCGGCGATCATGCCAGCACAGAACCCAACTGCCTCAACGTTACCCTCCTTGGTTAGCTCTGCCTGTAGGTCGTCGACAGTTCTGTCAGCGAGTCGACTCTCCAGATACCGCCAATACTGATCCAGCTGAATGGCAACCATCAGAATCCCGAGACAAAGATCTGGGAGCTCCGCGTCTGGAGCGAACGAGTCGACCGAGTCAGAACCGATTCGAAACCACGATTCAAGGTCGGCCAGGAAGCGAGGGCCCTGCATCGTGCTGGCCACTTCGGGGATCTTCTCCGTCACAGCCTCCCAGTACCGTGGCATGCCGGCCAGGGTATCGAGTATCCATCCTCCATTTGGCCCGTTGGCGATCTTCCGGACTTCCTTTTCCAGTGAGTTCTTAGTCTGTGGGCCGATGTGTCCTCCAAAGATGAAGCTTGTTGCTTGACGAGTGTTTGATGAAGGCTTCATATTGCTTAATGTTGAGAGTGTAGGACCCGCTATACTAGTCTTAATGACATAAATATATAAATGGTATGTATTTGGTTGCAAAGAAAAGGTACAGTTCATTTCTTGTTATAAATACCGTGTAGATACTTAGAGCGCTATCCACGCAATATCTTTCGCGCAGAAGGAAGCTGACAAACGGATCCGGGACAAAATATTAGCGAACTCAGCCACCAACAAGCTCATCATCAGCCGAAACACATCAATGCTGAATGCTGACCATGCTAGGGCGGGGGTGAACGTTCAAGGAAGATGATAGCGTGACAAGCCTGTCAAGCGCGTGGAAACGCGCACTGATCTAGCTTGATGCAGTGTTGCTCCCTACTCCGTTGCATATCCGTCATGGAGTTTGAATTGATCCGAGGGTGCATACAGTACTCCGCATGGAAGGGCAAGGAGTCACATCTCAAAAGGAGAATCCAAAGTCCGGACTCAGCCTCCCGGGTCACACCACATACATGGACATGGATATATATAGATTTATCCAATATGCCATTCCCATTGCCCTTCTCCGCTACATCCGCTTCATTAATTGAACTCGTTATTACCAACATGGGAAACATTACACCCCCCCTTCAAGTAGCCGTGGTTGGCGGCGGCATCATCGGCGTCATGACAGCAATCGGCCTGCGTCGCCGGGGCATAAGCGCAATCATCTACGAGCGAGCCTCGACCTGGCACGAGGTCAGTGCCGGGTTTGCATTCACCGGCGCAGCGCGAGAGTGGATGGAGATGATTGACCCAGCTCTCGTCGAGCTCCTGGGCAGCATGAGCGGCAAATCCGACGCCAGCACGAGCAACGCCTACTGGAACGGCTTCCACCCCCGAACAAACGAGGAAGCTGAAGATGAGTCCAAGTCACTGCTCTTCCGGACGCCCACCAACAACCTCAGCTTCTGGGGCTGCGTGCGATCGCAGTTCCTGAAGGGGATGGCGGCCATGCTGCCTGAAGAAGCGAGGATCTTTGGGAAGCAGCTCGTGGACTACGACGAAGTCAACGACAAAATTATTCTCCACTTCGACGACGGCAGCACCGCTGAGGCCGATGTTCTGCTCGGCTGTGATGGCATCCACTCCGCCACCCGCAAAATCATGCTAGCGGGTGAGAGCCGGGCAGGCTTCAGTCACACCGTCACCTACCGCACCATGGTCCCCATTGATGTGGGCATCAAAGCCCTCGGTCAGAAGGTTGCGAAGAATGCCTGCAATCACCTGGGGCCAAATGCGGACCTGCTCTGCTATCCAGTCATGTCCATGACTCTCCTCAACATCGCCGTCTTCGCTTACGATGACTCGGAGTTTCCTGACTCGGATAGGATGACGGTCGAAGTGGACCGCAGCGAGATTGCAAAGGTGTTCCAAGGCTTCAGCCCGCAAGTTGCTGACATCTGGAAGCTTTATCCCAAGAAGGTTGTCAAGTGGGGGATCTTTGATCTAGAAGATAACCCCCCCTCGACATATGCCCGTGGTCGAGCCTGTCTCGTCGGCGACGCTGCACACGCCAGCACCCCGTATATGGGAGTGGGGGCCTGCACTGGCGTCGAGGACGCCCTTGTCATCTGCACACTCCTGGAGTCGGTGCAGCAGAAGGCCCTTGCCGGCGAAGGGCTGAAGGAGGCTTTGGGAGAGGCGCTCCAGACGTACAGTGGAGCAAGGTTGGAGCGAGGCCGGTGGATCCACCACCACTCGCGTCAGATGGGCCAGATGTACCATTGGAGGTACGGACCGACAGGCCGTGATCCACAGAGGATGAAGCAGAAGCTCGAGGAGAACTGGGGAAACGTGGTGACTTATGATGTGCTGGCGCCTCTCCAGCCGGAACTGCGTGCGTTGGCGAGGAGTCACCGAACATCACCGTAGATACTCTGATAAGTTGTTGCTGAATCGATTTTGTGTGTCTTTTAATCTTGTGCCCGTGAACTTTATGGATTTTCCCCTGATTGTAGACCCTCCTACGAACGAAGCCAGACATTGCTCAAGAGGACTTTTTACTCAATCAACAAAGCACAACCCTACTGATTGGAAGATATTCCGAAACAGGTGAAAGCAAGTTAACACATTGACATCGACATTGTCGAGTACCGTAACGATTATTTAAACCTATCTATTCACTGCTCGGGGGCTTCATGATGGAACGATCGCCAGTAGACCAAATGTGAGTTGACTTCATAGTCTTCAGCTTCCAAAGGTCGTCCACCTTGACAGCATCGCAGGCGTAGAATGCGCCGGTGGTGAATTTGGTCGAGTCTGGCTCGTAGCCCTTGCCCACGATGCAGTGCACTGCCTGAGCGTTGAAGGTGACCCGGGCAGTGGTTTCGGTGTCGACGCTGACACGGACGTTGGAGAGATAGTGGACGGTGTCAACGCGCTCGGCAACATTAATCCACACCTTGTTCTTGAGTTCTTCGTAGCCGTCGCACGTTTTGAAGGCGATGTCGGTGTATACGTCGGACGTCGCGCTGGACTCGAGAAGCTCCTCGCTGGCATGGTCGATGGAGGCGAAAGCGCGGTAGCAGGCGTCGGCGATGGCCTCGCGGTCGCTGAGAGGGGGGCCAGCCAGTTTGGCAGGCAAGGGGGTACCGTTTCTAACCATGTTGTCTGTAGAGATGATTGTCTATAGCGATTGCTTGTAGGTATGATTGACCTGGAGGATGAAGGCAAGCTGGTGGGCTGATGTCGATGCTACAAGACACATCCACCCTTTAATATATAGACGGAGTATACAGCAGCATAAAACATATCTTATTTCCGTGGCTCAGCCTGACGTGAGATGTCGCTTGAAGTTTGTCGCGTGCCGGACAAAAAATGTAGCGTTGATCGCCTGTAACTTTTCCCCGACACAGCCCCCAAGCAGGTCCCTAGGGCTAGGGATTCGGGATTAGAGATTGCCCGCACCACTCTTACTGTAAGAGTGTAGTTGATGATTGTGATAAGCTTCGGTGGATCAATTGCTTCGTACGGGCTGGTAAAGGCGTATATATATGTATATAGACATCTCCATCTTAACAGGATACTTTTACTTTCGAAATACTTTGCCATACTTTTGCTGCTCACTGCTACCTACCTACCCTCTTTATAAACTAATTAATATTCAAGCCCCGACGACCATCCACTCCACTTCCACATCGAAATGGACACCGACAGCGAGTGGGCCAGTGAGCCGATTGCCATCATTGGCATGAGCTGCAAGTTTTCCGGAGGTGCCAGCAATCCAGACAAGCTCTGGGACCTTATGGCATCAGGCAAGACCGGCTGGAGTGAGATTCCAGAGGATCGGTATAGCCTCAAAGGAGTCTATCACGCAAACCACGAAAGAACCAGCACGGTAATGCCCCTCTCTGCATGGCCAACCTAGAGGCTTTTACTGACAAGCCCAGACACATGTCAAAGGGGGCCACTTTCTGGACGAGGATGTCGCAGCATTTGACGCAGCCTTCTTCAACTACTCGGCGGAGATGGCCCAGGTGGTCGACCCTCAATTCCGGCTGCAGCTCGAATCCGCTTATGAAGCGCTTGAGAACGGTCTGCTCTCTATGCTTTCGAGTCGAAATGACATCAACTAACTAACTGGCAGCCGGCCTGCCCCTGTCCCGGGTAATGGGGTCTCGGACGTCCGTCTTCGCTGGCGTCTTCGCCCACGACTACCAGGAGGGAATCATCCGGGACGAAGATAGACTGCCACGATTCAACGTAGTCGGCACATGGAGCCCCATGTCATCCAACCGCATCTCGCACTTTTTCGACTTCAGGGGCGCCAGCATGACTCTAGAAACCGGCTGTTCGACGACATTGGTGGCTCTCCACCAAGCGGTCCAGACCTTGCGCAACCGTGAGGCCAACATGTCCATGGTGACTGGCGCCAACGTGATGCTGAATCCGGACACCTTCAAGGTCATCGGATCGCTGGGGATGCTGTCGCCTGACGGGAGGTCATACTCGTTTGATTCCCGTGCCAATGGGTATGGCCGCGGAGAGGGCGTGGCTACCATCATCATAAAACGACTGTCGGATGCGCTGGCTGCCAATGACCCCATTCGTGCAGTGATCCGTGAGACAGCATTGAACCAGGATGGCAAGACGGACACCATTACAACGCCATCCGCTGCAGCGCAAGTAGACCTCATGCGGGAATGCTACAACCGTGCTGGCCTTGACCCTCGTGGCACCCAATATTTCGAGGCTCATGGCACAGGGACGCCCACCGGTGACCCAATTGAAGCGCAAGCCATAGCCACTATCTTCAGCGGAGGCCAAGGCCGGGGCGACAAGGACCACTATCTGCGTATTGGCTCCGTTAAGACCAACGTGGGCCATACCGAGGCCGTTTCGGGTCTTGCTGCCGTTATCAAAGGTGTCTTGTGCCTCGAGAAGGGGTTGATTCCGCCTACTGTCAACTATGAAACGCCCAACCCCAAGCTGAAGCTGGACGAGTGGCGACTCAAGGTAGTGAGGACGATAGAGCAGTGGCCTAACAGTCTGATTGATGGCCCTCGCCGCATGTCAATCAACAACTTTGGCTACGGCGGTGCCAATGCTCATGTCATTTTGGAAAACGCCGACCCCTGGACCTTGACTTCAGGTCTGGATTTTGAACACGTCAATGGCAACGGTTTGAAATGCAATGGGGAGGCTTCAGAAGATGTCTCGGACGCCCAAGTGCTCATCCTTAGTGCGCAGGACGAACGAGGCTGCCAGCAAATGGTTTCCGACCTCAAGGACTATCTGGAAAAGCACAAGTCGCTTGACCACAAGGCCTCTGAGCAGCTACTGCTGAATCTAAGCTACACGTTGGGCGAGCGTCGGACCCTCTTCCAGTGGGTTGCAGCACACCAGGTCCGTCTTGATAACGGGACTCTCGACTCTGCGATCCAAGCCCTTGAATCGCCTCGTTTCAAGCCAACCCGTCGAGCTTCCGAGAGCCCACGCATCGGCATGATCTTCACCGGCCAGGGCGCGCAGTGGTATGCCATGGGTCGTGAGCTACTGGCCTTGTACCCTGTCTTCCGCCGGTCCATTGAGGAGGCTGAGACGTACCTGAACGCCCTCGGGGCTGACTGGTCACTGCTCGAGGAGCTACAGCGTGACAAGAAGACATCAAGGGTCCACGACACAAAGATCAGCATTCCCATTTGTGTAGCGCTGCAGATTGCTCTAGTTTGTCTGCTTGAATCTTGGGGCATCACGGCATCAGGAGTTGCCAGCCACTCATCAGGTGAGATTTCAGCAGCTTTTGCTGTGGGAGCCCTCACACATCGTCAGGCCATAGCTACAGCCTACTTTCGCGCCATCCTTGTAGCAGACGAGACACAGCGCGCACCGGGATCTGCCAAAGGTGCTATGGCGGCAGTCGGGTTGGGTGTTGACGCGGTGCAGCCCTACCTCGACAGGCTGACCAAGGGCAAAGCTGTGGTTGCATGCGTCAACAGCCCTCAGAGTGTCACCATCTCTGGTGATGAAGACGCCGTTGGCGAGATTATCGACTTGTGCAAGCAGGACGACGTGTTTGCTCGTCGTCTCAAGGTCCAACAGGCATACCATTCTCACCATATGGAACCCTTTGCCGATGCCTACCGGGAGCGTCTTCGAACCGAGATGGCCCGGAGTGTAGTCAAAGGTGACACGCAGGAGCTCAAGGCGGTTTTCTCATCCGCAGTCACTGGCGGGCGCATCACCGACATCAAGGAGATTGCCAGCCCCGATCACTGGGTCGGTAGTCTCGTACAGCCGGTAGAGTTCGTTGACGCCTTGACTGAGATGGTTCTCGGTGATCCTGATGACCCGACGGGCAGAAGCGTTGATGTCCTTCTTGAGGTCGGCCCTCATACAGCCCTGGGAGGTCCGATCCGCGAGATCTTGTCACTGCCCGAGTTTGAAGGCATTGAGCTTCCATACTGGGGCTGTCTCGTACGCGACGAGCACGCAGGCGACAGTATGCGCTCCGCCGCGATCAACCTGTTCCGTGAAGGGCAATCCCTTGCCATTGACCAGATCAACTTCCCCGTGCCTGCATATGACGACGAGGGGCCCCAGGTTTTGACCGACCTTCCATCGTATCCCTGGAACCACACGATGCGCCATTGGCAAGAGTCCAGAGTCAACCGTGCCATTCGCGAGCGCAGCCAGCCTCCTCATGAGCTACTCGGCATGCCCGTCCCTGGCAATGATCCCCGCGCGTCCGTATGGCGCAGGGTATTGCGTGTCACCGAAACCCCGTGGCTGCGCGATCATATGGTCCAAGGCAGTATTGTGTACCCAGGCGCCGGCTATATTTGCCTTGCAATCGAGGCCGCTAGGCAATTGACTGATCAGGGCAAAACAATCTCAGGACTCCGCCTCCGTGACATCAACTTCTTGTTTGCCCTTGTTATCCCAGACAACGCGGATGGCGTGGAGATCCGAACCACGCTCCAGTCTGTCCCTAAGCGTGAGATCGGGGCTCAAGGCTGGTGGCGCTTTGAGGTCTCATCAGTCACATTGGAGAACCGGTGGACACTGCACGCTACGGGCATGGTTGGTATAGAGGAGTCAGCTGTCCTGGAGACTGAATGTCGTCGTCCATTGTCGACTTACACCCGCCGGCCAAACCCCCAGGACATGTTTGCTAATCTCAGGGCACGCAGCGTCTATCACGGTCCTCTCTTCCAAAACACCAACCAGATCATCCAGGATGGCCGAGAACCGCGATCCATATGCGACATCATGATCCGCCACGAAGCTTCGTCTGATACAGACCCGGAGGTGGCAGCACAGAACAGCCTGTTGCACCCAATAACCCTCGATGCTGTCGTCGTGGCCTTTTATTCCGCCCTCCCCAGCGTCGGAGCGCTGCAGAAAGAGCCCAAGCTCCCGCGGTCTGTCGCATCGATGTGGATATCCAGCAACATCAGCCGCCAAATCGGCCACACGCTGCAGTGCGACACATCCCTACTTCATGACGACCCCCAACGTGGGAGGGCCGACATTACAGTGTTCGACAGCAAGACGGATGACGCAGTGCTCAAGATGGAGGGCGTCGAGCTGGCGTCGCTGGGAAGGGGAGGCTCTGCAAGCATCTCGATGGAGGAGGTGTGCAGCAAGCTTGTCTGGGGACCTGACCTTTCGCTTCGGAACACGCTGGCTTTCGAACAGATTAAGAAGCATCTGGCGTCTACAATCTCTGATCAGAAGGTAGATATGGTCAGGGACCTACAGCGCTTGTGCATTGCTTATGCCTCTGATGCCCTACGAGAGCTGACTCCGGGGGATGTGGCCGGACTGCAGGTACAGCCACATTTGGCCAAATGCTATGCATTGCTACATGAATTGGCCAATCAAACTACCGAGGAGCCTGGGAAGCCTCAGCAGTTCATGGAGAGCGTTGATGAGAAGGTGATCTGCCGTCTCGGACCCCTCCTCCCATCTATCCTCCGTGGTGAGCGCAGCATGGAAGAATTCAGTAGCTTAATGGATGAATACAACGCCAACTCAATGCGTCAGTCATCATCCCTCAGACAGCTCTCTGCTCTGCTACAAACGGTTGCACACAAGAGCCCAGGTGCTCGCGTGCTCCAAATTGGGAGCGGTAATGGTGCCCTGGCCACACGTCGCATACTGGAGACCCTTGACACGAACTTGGTGGCCAGCTGGCACATCACTGAGCCATCGTCAGAATCATTGGAGGATGCGCGTTTTCAGTTAGCCGACTGGGTCGATTTGCTCCAGTTTGACCAACTTGATATCGAGCAGAGTCCATCCAAGCAGAAGTTTACCCCAGAGAGCTACGACGTTGTTATATCCTTCCATGCTCTACACGCTATCAAGAGCCCGGCCAGTGCGCTGGGAAATGTACGCACTCTGCTGAAGCCAGGGGGCACGCTGCTCTTTGCGGAGACGACTAAGAATCAGGTTGATGCGGATTTCGTCTTTGCTTTACTTCCAGGCTGGTTGCAGGATAAGAAATCAGTCACTTCCTGGGACACAGTGCTTCAAGATGCGGGCTTCAGTGGTATCGACCTTGAAATTCATGACTCGGAGAGCGATATCCATACCAACAGCGTCATCATGTCCACTGTGCCTGCCGAGGACCAGAAAGCCGACCTGAGCAAGGTTAAGGACAGCTTTGCAGTCGTTTCCAGCATCAAGACACCTCCATCATCCGCCATTGTCGACCAGTTGTGCCAGCGCATTCAGGCCTTGACCGATACCGCCACGGCGCACCTCGTGTTGGAGAAGAACAGCGGCGACACATACAAGGACAAGATCTGTGTGTTTATCGGCGAGCTTGACCAGCCTATTCTGGCGGACCTCGACGCAGTGCGGATGGAAGGCCTCCGCGCAATGGTCACGCAGTGCAGTGGCCTGCTCTGGGTCACGACTGGTGGGACTGTTGAGAGCGAAGCTCCCGAACGGGCTTTGCACCAGGGCTTCTTGCGTGTGCTGCGCAACGAATACATCAGCCGCCACTTCATCTCCGTGGACCTTGACCCTGCTCATGCAGATGCAGATGCAACCGGATGGTCCTCAGGTGCAGATCTCGCCGTGTCAGCCATCGTGCAGGTCCTCGAGGAAGGATTCGGGCATGGCAGCACTCAGACCGGTCCAGCCGAGTTCGAGTATGCCGAGCGAAACGGTGTCTTGCATATTCCCCGCTACTACAAGGACGAGCAATACAACAACATGGTCACTTGCCCGCTTGTGCCGAGCTGGAGTGACCAGGACGAGAGCAGCATTCCCTTAGACCGCCTCTTCCAGGACCGACCACTCCGGTTGCAAGTCGGCATCCCAGGCCACCTGAACACGCTTGCTTTTGTTGACAATGAGGAAACCCATGGGGAGCTATCGCCAGAACTTGTGGAGATCACCCCTCGAGCTCACGGGGCTTGCTCCCGCGATGTCATGGCCGCTATGGGCCAGCTCAAGGATCAATCCATGGGCTTCGAATGTGCCGGTATCATTGCGCGACTTGGTCCTGAGGCTCAAGCCAAGGGCTACAGGGTCGGTGACCGTGTCTTAGCCCTTTCGACCGGTGCATCTTTCGCCAGCAATGTCCGTGTCCCATGGCACGGGGTCATCCAGATGCCAAAGAACATGGACTTTGCCAGTGCTGCCTCGCTTCCCCTGGCTTTTACAGTTGCTTACTTCAGTCTCGTGAGGAGCGCAAACCTGACGCCTGGGCAGTCAGTCCTCATCCATGCTGCAGCTGGGGCCATTGGACAGGCAGCAATCATGCTGGCCAAACACCTGGGCATTACAGAGATCTACGCTACAGTCAGCTCCCCTGGGAAGCGAGACCTTCTTGAGCGCGAATACGGCATCTCTTCGGAGTGTATCTTCACTAGCCGTGACGCATCCTTTGCCTCGGCTGTTCTGGCTGCTACCAAGGGACGCGGTGTGGACCTTGTGCTTAGCTCACTTTCTGGTTCTCTACTTCAGGAAAGTCTCAGCACAGTTGCACCTCTCGGTTATTTGATGCATATTGGTAAGGCAGACATTGAGAGCAATAGCCTGATGGCACTTAAGTCTTTCTCTCGCGGCATCTCTTTCATATCAATGGACGTCCCAACCCTCTTGCAGCGCCGAGGACCCGATGTGCACCGTGCGCTTGGTGAGATCGCCAGCCTGGTTGAACAGCAGCAGGTGAAGCCAGTTCACCCTGTTACTATTTACCCCATGCAGGATGTCCAGGCGGCTTTCCACTTCATTCAGACAGGCGACCAGATGGGTAAAGTTGTCCTTTCAGCTGGATTAGACGAGCAGGTTCACGTGGTCCCCCGACCAAAGGGCTTAACAGCCTGTACTCAACTACGACCCGATGCATCGTACCTCATCGTGGGAGGTGTTGGGGGTATTGGGCGTTCAGTTGCATACTGGCTGGTGGCTCATGGTGCACAGCACCTGATCCTGCTTTCTCGCAGTGCTGGCAATCTCGATATTGACCGGAATAAGAACAGTGACGGGGCACTCTTCATTAATGAACTGCGTCATATGGGCTGCCAGGTCAAGCCCATCAGCTGCGATGTCTCACTCCCCAGCTCACTGACAGTGGCTCTTAGGGCCTGTGAAGACGATGGCTTCCCTCCAGTGCGCGGCGTCATCCAGGGCGCCATGTTACTACGCGATGCCATCTTCGAGCAGATGACACTTGACGACTGGCGCAGTGGCCTGAGTCCCAAGCTATATGGCACCTGGAACCTGCACACTGAGTTTTCGCGACCAGACTCTCTTGACTTCTTCATCATGCTATCGTCTGTCTCGGGCGTCGCAGGTATTGCGTCGCAAAGTAACTACGCTGCCGGTGGCTCCTACGAAGACGCCATGGCTCGCTGGCGCCATTCTCAGGGCCTGCCCGGTGTGGCCATTGACCTAGGGCCCATTTCTGACATTGGCTACGTTTCCACGGATGCCAGAGTCGCCGAGCGCCTGCGTAAGGATGGTGAATTTGCCATGCTTAATGAGGGCATCGTTCTCCGTGCCCTCGAAGCTGCGATTCTACATCCACTGGGCCGGTCTCAAATCATCGTCGGTCTTACCTCCTCCCCAGGTCCTCACTGGGACCCCAACGGTCGCTCCCAGCTCGGCCGTGATGCGCGCTATACAACGCTGCGACCGCACACTAAGGCCTCCGCGCGACAGGACGGCGAAAACAAAAGTGCCTCGCTTGCCACGCAACTCGCAGAGGCCAACGACCCGCAGGAAGGAGCAGGGCTCATCGGAGCAGCTATTGCAGAGAAGCTTGCTGACATCTTCATGACTCCTATAGCGGAGATCGATCTCAGCAAGCCGCCGGCCCACTTTGGGGTTGACTCGCTGATTGCGGTGGAGCTGAGGAACATGCTTGCATTGCAGGCGGCGGCGGATATTTCCATCTTCAATATCCTACAGACGACCAGTCTGAATGCGTTGGCTGGGTTGGTCGCGGAGAAGAGCAGACATTTCCAGGCTTAGTCGAGGTACCTAGCCTCTGAATCAGACTATGATTGACGATTGACGCTTATGCTTTGTTGCTATTATTGTGTGTGTATATGTATATATAGACCGTTAGACGATTTTGTACCAATAGAAGCCTCCCTTTCCAACAGCTACACTCCTACCCTGCGTTCATTCCTCTTATGCTCCGGACTGATTTAAGTGTCCGATCCTGAATGGGCAGATGTCCTCGCCCTTGTCGTTAACTTGCAGAAAAAGAATGTGTAAAGGGGGCAAAAGTAGCCCCATTCCTCTTCACGCTGACGTCGGGGTCCGAAGAGTCCCTCGTATAACCTATCCTAGCGCTGCCCGAGTACTGGAGTACGAGACTATTCTGGGCTCTGTCTTCATACGGAAATTGCCTGGCCTTGGTTCTCGGCGTTTGGCCGTGAACCCGAGGACTGGGATTTGAAGATACTGGACAGATTTCAGATCAGAGACTAATGCACGCCTGCTGATATCCTGCCACGTGGGCAGTGTGATACAGCTGTCAGCCACAAACAACAACGAGGGCCTACGAATCACCCCTACTTGATGAACAATGGACTTGAAACGGCTCTGATTGCTCTTCTATATATCTAAAATCTAAACAGGGATCAAATAGCTGCTATCACCAAAACTCCAAAGTTCCAAAACACCGTCCAAGCTAAGTCGCGATCATACCTTCGTGAATATCTATCTATATATATATATACATCGAGAAACTAAGTGCACCCACACCACGTGTCGACCTGGGGCTTTAAGAGTCGAAGAAAAATTCTGTGAGAGCTTGTTGAGGCCCATCGAGTCTTGCAACATTGTTAAGATGCTGGGCATAAGCTTGACATAGGCGTTGTTTAGCTCGGGGTGGGATTGTGAGAATCGGGCGCCCAGGAGGAGCAGGATGGGGGTCAAAGGGTGCATCTGCTATTCTTAGCAATCAGCTTACACTTTTATCACACTGGATTGGCGTACCTGGAAGTGTTGGCCAAGTACGGCCACCAGCAGAGAGATATCAGTCACGGCATCTAGGGCCTGTTGTTGGTGTTCTGCGTGGAGGGCTTGAACAAGCTGCGTTCCCTCCATGCTGGTCCCTAATGGTTTGGATTCAATCAGGTCGTAGAGCATAAGCACATCGACCTGTGCCGTCAGGGCAACAAAGGCAATAATAGGGTCTGGATACTCCAGTGATGCATAGATTCGCAGCATCCTAATCCGTTGCGCCAGCAGTGCATTAAGAGTTCGATGTCGACTGCAGAACCCTTCGCACGGTCTGGTCGGGGCGTTCTGCCTATGCTGGAGGACCCGTCCGCATATGGTGGCCCCGATGACACACTCTACAAAGGGCGATAAGTTATTGTGTGGCCCCTTAACGCTGACATCCGGGACCACATCTGTGAGGAAACTCATCTCCATCGGGTGATTACTTACAAAGTTTGCCTCAAGAGCCGGCAGGCGCACTTGTATCTAGACTGAGTAAATATCTGTTCTTTTTACTTTTTCATAAAGGACTCAAAACTGACCAGCTGCTCGTCAAAGAACATGTGTAGCCCATCCACCAGACTTGTGAAGCAGTCAATTAGATATGCAAACCAAAAGGTCCTTCTCTTTGATTCAATATCAACCCAGTCCTCCTGATCCGGAGTGAGTTGCCATTGATACTGGTCTAGCTGCATGGTGTGAGGTGTCCGAGGCATGTCGAGCTCGTATAGTCTCATCATCTGAACCAAGCGAAGAGCTCTGCCGGCGGACATCATGCCTCGGTGGAAGTCCTGGCAGGTTAACTCGTAGATCGAAAGGAAGGCCCACGCCTGGGTTTATTCTAGAGAGATTTGGTGGCAGGGCTCCCCTCCTTCAAGTTTCTGCAGAAGCTGCCTTGTTTTCGCGTATAACTTGCAACCTTGAACATGGAACTGGCTGGAGAGTGATGAGGCTAATGTCCACATAGCATACTGTAGGCATGTTCTCTGTCTGCTCTTGGTTGTTTAGACCATGATCGGTAGCGGTGGGTATGGATGATTGGCGCAAACGCATACGCCCGGTCAAAATACAGCTGGTCTCTACGCCATATTACCACTGTTGTCATACGAGGGTAAGACGTAGACTTACAGGTCATTGTGCATCATGGGAGATATCAAGAGACCGGAGTCCATTGGAATTTGGACCAACTCTGGCACACTGTCCACTGGGGGCAATTGAAGAGGCGAGCTCGTGTATGAACCGTTGAAACATCCCCAAGGTTTCACCGTGGGGAATAGGAACTCTACCGGTGTTGCCGGCCACTGCAGGATATCTGTTGTTTTGGGCGTTGTGGTATGGTTTTCATTGTTGTCTGTGCTGCTGTCGTTGTCCACGGTCTGGCAAATCGGTGCTGGAGATGTCCCCTGTTTTTCTAGCTGGCTCTCGAGCTCCTCTATCTTTTTCTGCAGCGTCCTGAGATATCCTTTCTTGGGCCCTCGAGGCGGGTAGCTGTCTCGCACTATGCATTCCACACCGGCTGTAGCACACACTGTGCATTGAGGTCGTGTCCTATCGCAGCGGATTCTTCGTCGTCGACATTCTTCGCACTGCGTTCAAAGTGTCAGTATCAAACCCGCTGAATGGGCGATGAGGCCTACTGCGTTCCCCGGCTGTTGTCGCTGTTGGTCCAGCATGGCTGCTTGAATCGGTCTGTGAGGTATGCAATTGGTCTTCCTCTTCTAGGGCCGGGGAGAGTCTGGATTGATGTATTGACCCAGGGTTAGATCTAAGGTATTGAAGTATGGGCCATGCTGCAATATGTGGATATAAGTACAGTCCGAATGGAGCCTTATCCTCTAAAGGACAATGTGGGACCAATCGCTGGCTACATCTCGCGTCAGCCCATTTCCATGTGCTACAATTGATGATGTTGATGATTGTGACATCTGGAGGCGCCGAATCGGACCTAGCCCCTCCTAGACGATGAGTCGGAGGATACCACCGGGGTTGGCCAACACGTAACCAACGGTGCACTTCCTTATTTTTGGAGGGCGAAGCCATGATTTGCAATTGGACCAGAGATAGGCTAAGCTTCGAGTCGATATGGCCTCAGGTGGCGTTAACCATATCAATGCTCGCGGCTGTACACAGTCTTTGTTGGAGTTGGCAGCACGAGGAATGGACCAATGGCAAAAATGCCTCAGTTACAACCCAGGCCAGCGTAAAGGAGTCAAAGGAAGGTAATCATACGAGACTAGATTAAACGAAGGGGGACAAATCATGATCGCTATTCTTAGCAGGTTCCTGCGAGTCAGAAGCTCAATGGTGTCGCTGCCCCTTTCGAACCGGACATCCACCGTAACCTCTGAATCAGTTTGTCGATACGAAGGATCCGGGACTTTCCTTTGAGCTAAATTACCATCCGGAATAGCTTAGGCTCGTTCCGGAACGGCCGGATGACCGGCCCCTTGCCAGTAGTGGCAGCGGGAAATGAATTATTTCCACTGCAGGCCGCGGCATCGGGCCGCAGGGGTTTCGAGCCCCGAATGCTCGACCCGCACCCCCACAGATGTTCCCACGTATCCAGTCACAACAAAAATTAGGTGTATGGCGAGCGTATGGGTAAAAATCACAATGGGAAAATTCTCTAACTAAAAACAACAATAGTCTGTATTTAACAATCTGGTTAGACCAATTAGGAAGCAAAATGCATAATGAAAGGTCACATGTTTACAAGATAAATAACTTTGTAACTGAGCCTAGCTTTCAGAGCACATTCACTAATAGTTTTTTCTAGGATACACTACTCCGGTTGACCCCGGTGATTTTGTTAGTACGGTGGGGCCTTGCACGAACGAATCATATTGATTCTGCCGCTATCCAGCAATTATCTAATATTTTGTATGGCCCCCTTCTGCATCAATGACTGCCTGGCATCTTGCCTGCATGGATTCAATTAGGCCCTTAAGGAACCTCTCAGGGACTGCATCCCAGGTAGCTCGAACCACCTCTCGTAGAGCATCATATGATAATTTATAATCATCTAGATATCTCTCTTGGATCCAGTCCTTCATCCAATTCCAAACCATCTTAATAGGGTTCAGATCAGGTGAGAAGGCAGGCCAGGTAATAGGGTAGATACCATGCTCTTGAAGCTCTCTAAGGGTATCCTTACTAGCATGCCCAGGTGCACCATCCTGCATTAGTTGAAGCCAGGTATCTTGTTGGCGAACTAGGCGTAGATATCCATTAATGATAGGCACAATCCGCTCACAGTATCTCTCTGTATTAATAGATCCCCATTCTTTCTCCTAAAAGAGGCATGGTCCCTTCTGATCACCATGAAATGAACCCCAAACATCCATCCATGTCTTTTAGGGGGAGAGGTGCGAAGATAAGTCTCTTCTAGTTCTTCACCAGCCTTCCTAGTCACGTAGATTCGCTTATGGAAGCCTGAGGTAACCCAAGTCTCATCAGACCAAAGGATCTGATTCCATTGCTCTTCTGTCCAGTTCACATGCTCCAGGGCCCAGGCAAGACGTACATGCTTATTATGATCTGATAAAGGCGGCTTTCGAAGGGCAACATGACGTGTATAACGTCGTTTCTTCAATGCGCGAGTAAGGTCGGATGGTCTACCAGGTAGATCAAGTTCTTAACAGACTTTGTAGAAAGGCATGCGTTGATTATGCTTAGAGGAAGAGATAAATGCTATAATATCATTAATATCTTCCTCAGAGAGTTTTGGTGGCTTGCCTGGGGCCTTTTTAGGTGTTAATTCCTGGCTTTGGCAGGTATACTTAACCTAGCAATATGTGTGATTTGAAGCTGGTGAGCAATCTGTTGATAGGTAAAGCCAGCATCTTGGAGAGCTAGAATGCGAATTCGATCATCACGACTTAGGCGTGTAGAATTACCCCTCTGCTGAGGGGGGGTACTAGTTCGGGCGTAGGCATGGTGTTGATTGCTCACTAGGTTCACGAAGATAGGAGGTCTGACTACTGAGTAGCTTCATATATTATTAATTAGGAAAGCGGTGACAGAACTGGAAGGATTCGCCCCCATGTAATGCCCACCGTACTAACAAGATCACCCGAGATGTACAGTTGTCCAATGTCAATAGTGCTTTCAGTTCAGCCCCAGGGATAGTGCATATCAAGTGTCATTTAGTAAGAGAATGGTTAGCAAGATTAAGCCTAGTGCCAGAGAGAACGGAGACGTCTTAATTTCCGTCCCTCCAACGAGAGTTCAGAATGTGGATCATGCCACGGTCCTCTTGATCTAGGAGTCCAGATTGGTAAGAAGCTAATCTTGTGTGTCCCACAGTTGTTTACGCATTTACCTAACATTTATAGCTGCTAACAGGGCTTTTTAGGTTACGCTCTTCCTCTGCTGCCTGCACCTTTTATAAATCTCTTTAACTCAATGCATTGCGCTTTTTAATAGAAATAAAAAAGGAATGTATCGTTGTGCTTTTACCAGACCATAGGATTGGCTATGTTCTATAGATTATAAAACGTCTGCCATGAGGCACAGATGGCTTCTGGCTCAATCGTACAGGATTTCGAGTCCAGGGTCCAAAAGTTAGCCGTGGCGGTGAGGTTCTCCACATCTGGCGCACATCAGGTATTATGATTGATAGAAATACCAGATCATATCTATGGACTAATGATACCTGTCAATCATGTTGCTATGCTTAGGGCTAGAGCTAAATTAGTGTGCAGGGTAGAGACCAGATTGTTCACCATACCCCTATTAGCAATATCCCTACCCAGATTTCTGTGTTTTGTCCTTTTCCCTTCCCTTCTGTAGTGCTGCCCCACAAAATTTGCAGGTGAAGTTCGGTCTCTCGCTTTAATGTTCATTTCTATTTACTCCGAGCTACAGAGGAAGGTATGCAGAGATAGGCCAATGTCTGAGCTATCACCTCCTGCCAGCTGCTCATTCTGGGCCTCGTCGGAGCTCTTGCTATTTCAATATGGACACTATGGCTGGGCGTCAACTCAGACAAAGACAACATTCATCCTTACTTAACCAACTGATTCCTGCGGGCCATTGTGCTTGCCAATCTGCGACCATCTTTAAATGTGATACCTGCCTTCAGTGCTCTGCTTCTAAAATGCCGCTCGGTAGCCCTGCAAGATATTCTTCCCTTGACCATTGACCTGGCTCTCGCCAGTACCGGCAAAACCAAGCCCAATGGAGATGGAATAGTTAACAAATGTAGTCACCAGCAACGCAGCAAGACCCTGATGCTGGGGCGGCATAGCTCGACACAGGATAATAGTGGCAGCGGGAAACGACGAATCCATGCCCCATGGAAGAACAATGATCCCCACGAACGTCTGCGCCCAGTGGGTCTGGTCCACAGGCATCGTCGCGAAGATGAGACCCCCAATGAGGAAGAAGGTCATGGAGATCAGCATAACTATCGACGCGCGGAAGTTGTTTAGAAGTAGGCCCGTGGCGCCCGCAGCAAATAGCCCGCTTATGGCGATGGGCGTCATTTTTGCAGATGTGACAAGGGCGTTTGCTCCCTGAGGACCTTGAGGAGATTCAGTGTGTAGAAGATGAAAATGCCAAAGCTAGACCAGCCAGCGCTGATGCAGGCCAGGGTGAAAAGGGAATCAATGCGCAGGACGCTGAAGGGAACCAGCGGGTGGCTTACTCTCTTCTCGATCAGGACGAAGACGATAAAGATGAGGATGATGATGATCATGATGAAGTAGGTATTTAGTGTCGCCCAGGCAACCACGGGGCCTTGGTTCCAGGCAAAGTTGAAAAGGATAAGGGCAGCTACACCAGAGATGGAGCCCCAATATCGACGTGCTTCCAGACACTAGGGCTTTCAGACTCTGGGGTTCTCAGGGCTGGGGTTGCGAGAATCACAAAGAAGCCTAAGACAGCCAGTAAGAGGCACGCAAAGCACAGGAGTTAATATAACCAAGGCCACTAGAGTCTCTGAGAAAGCACGCTGGAGAAGATGGCACTAACCAAAAAGCTGCCAGGAGTAGTAGCCCTGAACAGGCAGAGAATCATGTTTTAATAAAGGCCTGGTTCATAGCAGCGACTTATAATAGTGATGGCGTTGAGGAGTAGGAAAGCAGGGCCAATTCCCTACATGGCATGGCAAAATATGAAGAAGTTGGGCTGCTATATATAGTAATGCTGGCGAGATAAGACTACAAGGCAGACCAGACATAGCTGCCTATGAAGAATGGCTTGTGCCTAAAGACATTACTAAAACAGCCTGTGATGAGGATGAAGGTGCCGATGGTTAGAGAGTATCCAGAGGAGAACCAGCTCAGCTTACCAGGCTGGTTATCAATGTCAAGGGAGTATCTGATAATGTGTTAAGGGATGATGCTGAGGGCAAGACCAGCATGGTGACAAAGAGGACCTCGCTGGGGAGAGACTTGGGACGTTCGACTTTGGAATCATCTTCACTGTACTGACGGTCTCCACGGACTTCACTCGGGGCTTCTGGTTCGCTGGGTAGCGCTTGTGATGGTTGCTCAGAGGACATTTTTCACTGTGAAATGACGTCTGTTGACGATCACGGGCCTGGGGAGCGAGTCCTAGTAGACTCGTTTTACAAAGGTAGGGATGGGGTTTGCAAACCGGAGTATGTTTGATCGTGAGGCTGTGCTCGAGTCTACTCCGAGTCATGATTGGACCACACTCGGCCGTCCGACACTGGGGGAAATGGGTGGGAAGATGCTCCGAGTGTTTCTTTCGTTCAACAACTTAACGCCGCTCGGGGGGGACATCGTGCGGCTAGTGCGGAGTTACGATGTTGAGCACAGCTATTGCGGAGTTACGATGTTGAGCGCAGCTATTGCGGAGTTTCAGGCTGCAGTGCGGCTGCTGCGGCGGAGATCATAAGCCGGAAAAGTAATATAAATTAATCAGGATTCAGCTGCACTTGTTGGTTCATTCAATCCAATCCAGATCAAATCACACACATCACTCAAGCAAAATGTCTTACGCTAAGGATCAGCCCGCCGGCTTCACTAACGCCATTGAGAGAGTCGCCATTGTCGGTGTACGTAAACCCGCCCCCACTCCCAAAGTACAATACAGGATGAGACTAACAAACTTACTAGGCTGGAGGTACTGTTGGCTCTGTTATCGCTGCTGCCCTCCTTAAAACTGGAAAACACACCGTCACTGCCCTCTCGCGCAAAGGCAGCTCCAATAAGCTCCCTGAGGGCGTCGTTGTCGCCCCCGTCGACTACAGCAATGAGGCCTCCATTGTCGAGGCCCTCAAGGGCCAACAGTTCTTTATTATTAGTGTCGCCCCAACTGCACCCCGCGACACACACAGCAAGCTCGTCCAGGCAGCCGCCAAGGCAGGTGTCCCCTACATCATGCCCAATGAATACGCCGGCGACATTGAGCATGTTAAGTTCGGCCAAGACGTCATGCTTGGACCCGTGGCCCAGGCCAACCGAGATGAGATTGAGAAGCTGGGCATGAAGTGGATCACCGTGTGCTGTGGGTTCTGGTACGACTACAGCTTAGCGGGTGGGTCGGCGCGCTTTGGGTTCGACTTTGACAAGAAAGAACTAATGATCTACGGCGATGGTAACACCAAGATTTCAGTCTCAACTCTGGCCCAGGTCGGGCGCGCTGTTGCGACTGTGCTCAGCCTGAAGGTGCTTCCGGATGACAAAAATGACAAGAGCCTGACTCTCAAGAGCTGGCTTAACAAGCCAATCTACTTCAAGAGCTTTGTCGTCAGCCAGAACGAGATGTTTGAGAGCGTCAAGCGCGTGACTGGCACAACAGACGCTGACTGGACGATTACTCAGGAGGATGCCCACAAGCGCTACGCGGATGGTCTGGGGATGGTCAAGACTGGTAACATGGCTGGGTTTGCTAAGCTGCTCTACGCGCGAGCATTCTTCCCGGAGGATGCCGGCAACCACTCTGACAAGGCACAGAACGAGCTATTGGGCTTGCCGGAGGAGAAGTTGGACGAGGCTACCCAGGTCGGCATTGATATGGTCAAGGCGCTGCAGAGCCGTGCGGAGCGCATGGCTTCATAGAGATGTACCTTTTTAGAATTTGAAATTGTTTACGTGTTTGAGAGCCCGGCCTTGCTCTAAGGCAATTCCTTATACCTAGGTCTACCCTAGGGATCTATTCTACTGATCATTCGTTGATCGATATTCCTTTATACCTATATACTAGGTCAAACCTAGCATTCTATTCTATCGATTAGCTATCGATTAATATTCTGAGCCTATCAATATGGCAACTATTGATAAGATTAGCTTACCAAAGCTACGAGGCTCAGATAACTATATAACCTGGTCTATTCGGACTAAGGCTACCCTTATAAAGGAACCTCTATCCTCTACTATAGAGGAAGATGCCTCTGGCAAGAAGAATGATAAGGCATTAGCTATTATAAAACTATTATGTGTAGATGGACCCCTTCTTCATACAAAGAATATAGCTAAGGCTAATGAGGCCTGGATAAGGCTTCAAGGTCTCTAGGGTTTAGAAGGATTTCTTTAATACCACGTTGGATGATTTCCAATCGATGGAAGAATACCTTAATAAGGTTAAGGCATTAGTAGATGATCTAAAGGGAAAGGATATCATTCTGCCTAACCAGGTTATTATAGCCTGGGTGCTGAATATGAAGGGTTTATATCTAATATAACCCAGGCCCCTAGGAATGACCCTAAAGCCTATACCACTGAATCTCTATTTTCTAGCCTTGCAGATGAAGCACGAGGAAGGGAAAATGGTCATAACAATAGCCATAGGCTACTATATACTAAGGCTAAGGGTAAATCCTATAAAAGAAGGCCTTTATTAGGCAGATACTGCCAACACTGCAAGCTTACTAGTCATGATACTAGTGACTGCTATTTCTTATTCCCTAATAAGGCACCTGAAGGGTGGAATAAAGGGAATAAGAATAATAAGATGAATCAACAGGATATAAAGGTTCAGAAGAATCAAAAGAATCAGAAAGGTCTAAAGGATAAGGATGCTTTAGCAGCAGTCCTATCTAGCCTAGACCATGATATCTTATATGAGTCTAATATAAATCCTAATTCAAATCCTTATTTGAATACCAATTCGAACCATGATTCAACTAATAGTCATAATAATGATCATTTATGTAAGGGATTGGCTACAGCCCAGCCACCCTGCTATGCCACCATCCCTTGTTTCCTAATTGTTTTCAACCTTCTGCATTCTCACCTCAAACTGCTCTCGAATCATCGCCGCAAGCATCTAGGATGGGCAGCGAAGATAAATAGTATCCCCCTTGTCTGATATCCAAGAACACAAGGATTAGTTTTGTTCTCATACGATTTACTACTCTTTACTATTCCTCCTTATTAGCTATCATCACCAATTCTTATCTAGTCAACAGGCCATCTACCCTGTTACGTATATCCTTACAGTGTGGGTGGGCTGGATGTCACAGATAAGCAGCATGGATGTCGTCAACGCCTAATAGTATACCTCAGCCTGATTTACAGTTTCTGCAGACTGTTTTGTTATTTTGTTGTTTTGGACAGGTATCCGGCAGTTAGATCACAGGGGCCTTTATTGTATTTCGTAATCTTCGGCCTTGGGTTCAGAAGAGTATGGAATAATGCAATTATTTATGCCCACAGGCCATTAAATGGTCTCCTGTATTTCACTGACCCAAAACGTTATACTACTAATGCATATTGCTAAGTCAAGAACGATCTTCCTGGGCGTGGTATTGCATCTACTAGAATTCAAGGTATAATATTTAATTCAACTTCCACACTTATATTTTATTATAGACGCAGCATAGAGATAGGGTTTATTAGAGAACAATCATTAAACTAGCCAACACTAAGGTCATTCAAAGCTAACGCACATTAGTAAATACATGCCAAACTCCTTGGTGATTTTGTTGACTATTTTGAGCTGCACATAGCCTCAACTAGATCTGGATGGAAACAACAACTTTTGAATGAAGACAGAATGTCTTGCAGGTTTCCAGGAATGAAATTATCGGAAAATTCTGAAATCCAGAACACAAATAAAGTGCTGTGTTCATCCACTAGCATGAATTACTTCCCCTGTCTATTGCGTTGTCAATATGTAATGAAACCATCCTTCTTGTTAGAAAGAACATACTGCATCCGCTAGGCCTAAAGTTTTCCTTCACCCACCAATTATTTCCTGTTTTGTACCAGCCCCTGTTTTGTTTAGTGCAAATATCCTCTTTGTACACCAAGGGTTCGGAGATCTCTCACTTGTATTTGCAAATGTAGTCGACATGTTTGTTACTTGGATAGCTTCCTAGTTTATCACTTGAGTCGCAAGGATACCTATAGTATGGGATCGACTGGCTCGAGCGACATTTATCCCCTCCGTTTCTTTCCTCAAGAGACTCATTCTCAACGTCAGCATCTGCAGAAGGTATGGCAAGAGTCAGGGGCAGTAGAGCAGTGAGAAGAAAGAGTGGTGACTTCATTATTTCAGGTTAGATTAAGAAGTATATTAATAGACTCTTCTTGCCTTTCTATGCTAGAAGTCCATAGGTTAAATTACTACTAATCAGTTAATCTAAGGTCCTTTTAAGTACTTAATATACCTTTGCCCACGTGAATAGTAATACTTAATAATGACAGCTTCATTACACCACGGTGGCCAGTCAAGCATGCCTAGACTGTAGGTTCTAGTGTCTGACTGCTGAAGACCATTCTAGACTCCTAATCACGCGTCATACTTAAAGAACAATTGTGGCTGTTAATGTGGGATAGATGGAAGCGGAAATTTCGCCAAGTAAACCCGTAGGCTGCAAAGATGAAGAAAGCTAAATTTATCAAATGTTGTAACTTCGTGGTGAGAGGTAAGGGAATGAACTGGCCCATTTTTCTTCTCCGGTGCAAGTACAGGATGGACGGCTGGTCTATGAGTGTAAGTAAAAACAGCTCCAGTATCGAATCAACTAAACTCAACCTTAATTTAGATACTTGTTGCCAAGCCTCTAGCGCCGGCGGTTTATGGCCACATCTGACGCATCATTTGTTCGACATCAGCGTTTTGGGATGTCGTGCACTATGAGTACTTTAAGCAACTGCAAATTTGTAAATTTAGGTATAACGCGTAGACTATCGTCTAGAATGCTTTCCACCATACTAAGAGACCCCTTAACGGAATAACCAATAACCAAGATTATCCTTTCGATAGAGTCATTTACGTCTTTATTACATATCGAAGCAAACCCACCTACCTATGATGCTATTGCGGTATTGAAATCAGACCGGGAAAATATCCTGTCATAATTTGTGCTGGGTGGTGCATGTATAATTACTTTGCTCTTCCAAGTTGTTTGCGGACACCTCGCCACGCTGTGACGCTAATCGGTCATACGACAACCTGAACTTAAAATTGATGCATTGGTTTATGGATATCTTCAAGGTTTCTATCAGTATCCAGAAAATAACAACGCAGTAAAACTGCTGTCTGATTATTCGCTATTGCAGTTTCCCTTTCATACCAAGTAGGTCCTATTCAACATTACCCTGCTTAATGATTGCACGGTGCTCCTGAGAAGGCCAATTCCAGAATTAGGGCAGAGATCATTTGCCCCTTTAAGGACAATCCTCCATGGTTACCCAAGGAAGGCTAAGAACATATGCCAAATAATTGGTGGCTAGTATATGCCGTCGGGACCAACGGCTACTGAACACTGACCATAGGCTGCTTCCGCGATAATCCGATTTTGTGATTATTGAATAGCCTGTAGAGACATGAGGATGGTTTTCAACCATCTTTTTGTGTTTCTCCATTGGTGCCTTACTACTGAATTGCCCAATTGGATTTTCTAGGCCGTTTGACCGAGTCTCATCCTGACACCGCTCGACCATTGAGATTGAGCAACTTTTTTGGGGCTGCACTTCTCAACGTTGTGACTCAGGAAGGGGAAAAGGGCTGGGGATAAAGTTAGGATTGAGTGGTTTGCATTTGTGTATACAGATGTTGCCCATCAAGCCCTTGTGAAAGTGTTGCCGTAAACGGAGCTGGCCTCATGCTTTGCACCCAACTAGTCACGCAAGGTTCCGCTATCTGAAGAGATTGTGGGTATATGTTCTCATCACTATTGGATGCATCGTCCAACCGATGGTGATCAGAATAAGCCTGTAGATGTCGCACTCTAAGCGGTACCCGACCCTTGGAAAGCATAACGCTGATAGCCCAGAGATGTGGGGTACTGGGCAAGACTAGTTTATAAGGCCATAGACGTAGTGAACTTGTTAATCAGCCAATTGATGTCGTGATCAAGCTGCGAGTACCCGATAATGGTTTTTAGTGTCCATTCAGCTTCCACTAGCGGCATGGATCTAGGTAGATCGGCACACCTAATCAACTAAGGAAATATCTGTTCCTCAATTCCTGTCTCCTTTCAAAGACCTTGTTCAGATGCGCGGGGGAACTCCTGACGATATTCTAACAGTTGATACTTGAGACAAAGTAGTAAGAATATATGAAGTTTCTGGTTATACTCTGCTCTTATCAGTTCCACACTCATCAGTCATTTCTTCAATGAACTCAAGAGTCACAAGATGAATCTGGCCTTGCCCTACGAAGTTGAAAAGACTTTCAATTCAGACTATGTGGGAGAGCAATGTGGATTCTGTTCGTTCCCTGCATCCACTCTGACCCAACCTCGCACAGCATCACTTCCTTTAAAATTACTAGTGATCTGGGGTTTCTGAAACGATGATTCTTTTACGTAATTGAACGGTGTTTTCCGATTACGGCAATATTCTATCATTATACACAGCGTTTTACGGCTAAATCATGGCTCGGCTCATGCAGGAAACGACCCAGCTTTTTCATTCCAGAATAATGGGAAGCCAGATAGGGTTCGGCTATAGGTAGATATCCACCACTTGTCCCTCTAAGTGCTCCTAAGGCCTTGATCGCAATGATACCATCTCACATAACGGTGTTTTAAACAGAGAAAAAAGAGACTAGATTCCATTCTGACTCATAGTTACTTCCATATTTGCTGCTGATCCCAAACACTTTTTAGGCCCAGATTTTCCCAGCTAAAGCCAGGTATAGTACAGACAGGGACAAAGGCTAGGAATATTGGAACATGCACATATGCAGTTGCGAGCCTGATATCCAATCTTTGCAATTTATCTGAGTGCCTGTCAATGAAGTGGCCCTCCAGATATAACCCTTAAGACCCTCCAAACTCCCCACGCTCATACAATGTCTCAGGAGCGATGTCTGCACTTGCACCTGCGCCACTTCCAGTTGTCACAGTGTGGGTCATGATTGTCGCACCAYTTACCCTCACAACGGCAAGTCTCCRTATTCCAGTGTCCTGGCTCACAGCGATGATCCGGCTCATGGCATTCCTGCTTGGCCTTGCACTTGCAGTGTCCCCACCGCCAGTTATCACAGTGTGGGTCATGATTGTCGCACCACTTACCCTCACAACGGCAAGTCTCCRTATTCCAGTGTCCTGGCTCACAGCGATGATCCGGCTCATGGCATTCCTGCTTGGCCTTGCACTTGCAGTGTCCCCACCGCCAGTTATCACAGTGTGGGTCATGATTGTCGCACCACTTACCCTCACAACGGCAAGTCTCCRTATTCCAGTGTCCTGGCTCACAGCGATGATCCGGCTCATGGCATTCCTGCTTGGCCTTGCACTTGCAGTGTCCCCACCGCCARTTATCACAGTGTGGGTCATGATTGTCGCACCATTTACCCTCACAATGGCAAGTCTTCATATTCCAGTGGCCTGGTTCACAGCGATGGTCTGGAACGCAACTACGGTGGTTACTGAAATGATCCAATTTCCGGTCACCGTTGTGAGAGACTTTCTCATATTGGTTTAAGCCGTAAGTTAACAACTGTGTCATAGACATGTTCTGAGATATGAAACTGAAACATACCTTGCGCGATCTCTTTGTCGCTAAATTCTGGACCAGGCGATGCAGCTGCAAGGCCAAGGAGAAGCACAGACAAAGTAACGAAACTAACCTTCATGGCGGTAGCGTTATACAACTGTTCTTGATAGTAGTGGATCGTCTGTAGTAAGGACTGAAGCTTCTTTTTAAGGGTAGTGTAGTAACAGAGAAGTTGGCAAGTGCAGCACGTGTCTGCGATGTTAGTAGTCTATATATGCTCTCTCACCCGTAATATAGACAATGCCAATGTCATGACATGATTCGCCTCAGAGCGGAATAGGAAAGACTATTGATTGTGTATCAGCCTATAAGGTTTGCCGTGATGTAGAAGCCTAGAGAAGATCTTCGGTAGTTGAAGAGCGGGGTTTGAGAGAACCAAAGATTAAGCTGGAGAATAAAGGTGCTAAATTAAGGCAATAGGTCAGTTGAAAATCCAAGGTTCCGAGTCAGGAGCTATTCGCGGTCTAGATCTGCAACTGTTGGGCCTCCCAAGAACAAAATTAGAATTGATATGGCGTCATTTACCGCTGAAAATCTTGGAACCATACTTCTAATAATAGGTGTTCGAACTGTAGCAGAATACCGGATAAGACCACGCCACAACAGCTCCAAACACTTCCAGGCTCAAAGGTTACTACCATAAAACACAACCTAGATATTGGTGGGGCGAATATCTATTTGGGGATGCTGTAATCAGGGATGACCTATTTCTTATGTAGTGCTAACCAGCTGCAAATAGATCACTCCTGGCTCGCACTTCACTGGTATCGGGGAGATGGATAACCGCCAAAAGCGGAGCCAACCGTACTATAGTACTCTATCTATAACCGTGCACATTCGTGGCTTTTCATAAAGTTGGGGAAAGAGTCGTCCACTTCCATTCATAACTATATGTACTAAATATAGCCCTGAGTTAAGGAGCACGTCTTCCGGGGGGCAGACAGACTTAAACTGTGATGATTTATTACAGTTCAAATACTCCTCCTATCTTCCAGTGTTGCTACTGCAAGTTTCACTGTGTTTATTTTCCTTGATGCAAGAGACTGGCCATTGAAACTAGTCACAGTTGCCACCCCATGTTAACACCTACACATGGTCAGCTAGAAAAGCTAGGTCTTTTATTTCAGCTGATATCATAATGTACAGTAATTTTAATATGATTCCAGCCAGTGGTCGTGCTCTCACTGATATCTCGCAAACGGTGCCCTAGACTGGCAGGTACATGACACTTTTGGCCTAGAGGTTTAAATTCCCATACTTTTAACTTTCACGGGTTCTTTAAATTACGTTAGTGATTGGAAGTTACTCTCGTGGCTATGGCTGGCTTAAAGTTGCAATAGTGGGATGACTCTCCCAATACTTCGGTCGGTCTTGACCTAGTACCTTTAGTTCGTGACGTAAGGGAGCTTTGATTATTAACGAGGCCCTCCTGCACTGGCGCAATATCAAAAAGTGATCAAGGCCAGAACCAAACAGACGCACAACTCTTTTGTTGCGCTGTTGCGATATACTTAAAACAATTTGAAGAGAACAAGTGGCGCGACACCAACAGGTGTAACGCATATTCATAGTTTGTATAATTTGCCGCTGAGTCGAGACGGGGAGCTCACACGCATAGCCAGGATCATGAGTGAATAGATGACTGTGGGTACAGCCCGTTCTAACAGGGCTTCATGGCGCTTATGCCTATTTTTATCGAATGCAAAGTGGAATTATTGAGAGCTTCTTCTCAGCTTTAAGCCTTTGCCAAGGCTTGCGTCAAACTTAGACCAGAACCTGGAAGCATCGGCCCTAAACGAAATAACGCGATCAGAGTCTTGAAGTTGAATTCCTAAGCAGTTATCCGCGTGACGCATTTTGCTGTGCTCATTGGCTTTGATTAAATCTACCCAGTCCGAGGTCGAGGGTTGCCCAGCAACAACGGCTTGCGAGGCAAAACGCTTGGACCTCATGGCTAGCTGCGAAGCCAACAGGGTCAATGTCCCTAAGTGTGAGTTTGGACGCTGCAGAGCTCCTTGTTGCGAAGCTGCCCGATTAGGCAAATGTCTGCGCGAGCTTCGACTTCCATTCCCAAACGTCCGGGCAAAAGTCACAGCTTTTCAGCAGAATTGCATGGCTACGAAATGTAGGGGTCAATAGGCCCTCCTGAAAAGGCAGGAAAAATCATGGATCGAATGTGTTCTGAGTTGTCCGGTAGACGGCCTAGGAATTTCCTCTAACTCACCAATATTACCATCCAGCAGAAACCGAGAGTATTCTTAACCAAAGTATGTGCAGCTTGTTGGCGGATCCGCATATGAGATAGCCTGGTCCAAGGAAAGGATACTAAATTAGATCAGTATCTGAAAACTGGGACAGTCTGTATATTTGTGTCCGTCGTTTTGTCCTTCTCTTTTGTCTTTTTTTGCTACTTTTCTTTCACTGCATTGGTGCTTGATTGACTTCAGCCTGTTCGGCTTTGAGTACGGGTAAACCATTATTTTGAATAGGGTGATGGCTGATGCCTTGGGTGTGCTGATCAAGGGTGATGACTGTTGATTTAACTAGCCTCTCTACTGCTTGATCTATGTCTGCCCCTGTGAGAATAGTATGTGGGGGTGTTGTCTGGGACTAGATGTCTTGGCTGATCTTTACCTAGTTTGCCCGGTCATAGGCACGCTTTGGTTTTGATGATTCGTACCGCCTAGGTTGTAGAATCCTACTGTGGTTGGATCTGTAGTTGTTGTGGTATAGTTGGCATCTGATGAGACTTGCTGGGTTGTTGGTCACTGTGAGGTCTATGGTGGATGATTTGTCCTGGATTATGTAGAGCCTAATCGGCTGGTATATAATATGGTAAGCACTACTGGAGTTGATGTATTTGGAAGAAATTGATGAGTTTGTCTGCATGTTTAATAAAGTGGGAGGCTACTGGTTGATGGCTTTATGCTGGATAATAGTGGTTGAAGTTGCCTGCTAGGATAAGTTTTGTTACTCTATCTGTTTTATTTGAATGTTCCTGGGTAGTAGCCTAGATTTTGTCAAGTATCTGCTGGGTGCTGGTTTCATGGGTTGGTTTGAGTATGGCTATGGGTGGGATGTAGATTAAGAAGATGAGGTATTATATATCTACTATCTAGATTTTGACAGTCACTAGGTCTGGGGGAGATTGCAGTGGATCTGGCGATGTGATGATGTTAATATCTGTTTATTTATATAGAAAAGGCTGTGGAACTGTATAGCTTCCTATATGTCCGTAGGGTGATAGAGCCCCCATGCGCTATGGTTAATATGAGTGTGGTATGTGGAAATTAGGGGCTCTTGAATTAGGAGCAGGTTGAGATTTGTTGTGGGGTAGTTATTTATGAGGCTTCTATTCCTGCCCTGGATTTCATGTTCAACTATAGGATATGGAGGTTGTGTGAGGTCACTGAGACGTCCTTGGGTTGAGGGGTTTTTGGCACCTCTGATGCAAATTTCCCCAGCACCTTGTCCTTTCTTTTGAGCCACGCCACCTCTTCTATCCGGTAGCCTTGTTCTACCAGTTCGATTTCTGCTGTGATTTTCTCAATTGCCTGAGCTTTTGCGTTGTCCAAGTTAAAGTCCTTGGCAGAGGTACGGTGTACCACGACTCCAAACCGTTGTTTCACCAGTTTGGTGTCGTTTCCTAGTTCATTTAGCCACTCGGTGTTATTTCGGGCCGCCTCAGCCAACATTTGGTCTTTAAACCGGATCAGATATCCAGTTTTGGTGGTGCCAATCTCGGTCACTTGGGCATCTTGCGTGGCCGGCATACTAATAAGGCTATATCCACTAGATGACTTTACCTTTCCACTGGATAGGATACTACTGATAATAAAGGTAATAATGTACAAGAGACCGAAGTGTAGGGCTCCTATCTAACTATTATAGGCAGTCACTAAATCACTATAGCTGGCAGAGGTGATATTCCACCATAGGGTGTGTAAATATAGTTAAAAATAGATTTATAGATTAAAAATAATGGCATAAAGCTTCTCTAAAGGATAAATCTAATTTTACTATAGTTTAGGGGAGTATAATAAGGTTTAGAACTAAAAGCCAATAATTTAATAGTAATAGGCCCCTATATATTATAGAAAGTTTGTGCACACAACTTTTTCCAAAAAAATCGACCATTTTCAATCCCATATTTCTCAACCACCATATGATTGCAGTATAAAATAATAAACTATAGGATAGTAGATATTAATATTTAGTGTACCAGCCCCTTGCTTAATATACTGCATGGAATCTACACAGCACTAAGTATATAAGATAGTTAATCACCTCCTGTAGGATAGCATTCTATGCCTTAATAATAGCGCATTTAAATTACCTCTAATTAACTTTTAATCTACCTCCTTGGAAGAGTTCAGGATAGAGTTCTAAAAGCTTCTTCTTTAAGAAGTTCCAGAGGTGCTTAATTAGGTTTAAATTAGGTAAATAGAAGGCCATTCTATTACCTAAATTCTATAAGATTTAAACTACTCCTGTGCCTGATTAGATGTATAGATTTTAGTATTATCTTATTAGAATATACACCTAGGCTTATAGATTAGGAGGAGGCTATCTTCAAGGCATTTTAGGTAATATCACCCGCTCCCAAAGTAGTGACTAGCAGGAACAGTAGAGACGGATCCCAGGGTGAGACAATTAATTAGTAATTATAAATCCTTTAGATTCTGCCTATTACATCTGCCTTCTAGTGTCGCTGTGTTGGTGTCATAATAATATTAGGTTATAGGGTACTGGGTAACAATTATTAGAAGACATTTTTTGAATAGTGATTAGACATAATTTCACACTGATAATTTGAAATCACTTTCTACTAAAAAAGGAAAAAGAGTAAAGGAAAGTTGAAAGATAAAAAAAGGCACTTTTCCAACCACTAATCTTGTGCTACTGAGATATTGATGTATAATCAACTT